TTCCCCCTCAGTGCAAGGCGGGTGTGTTCCCCCCCGGGGAGTTCACCGCGCAGATGGGCAAGAGGTCCTTCAAACCGCCAAAGGTAGGTGGTTAGCCACATCACCACCACCACGATCACAACCACCGCAACCACCATCGGTCTGCGTCTGTGTTGCGGTTGCAATGGGGATTTGTCTTAAATCCCACATACACATACACACATACAGCACCGAACATCGTACTGAAGTCCTCCTCCCCATTTTCCCCCCCCCTTCCCCCCATCACCTTCACTCGCTCGTGGTTCGTCTTCCCCTCCCCCCCCCTTCATCGGTCCTCCACCCCCTTCACCTCACCCGCCATAAGGCCCATATGTGGTTAGAGCACGTGTACGGCTATGCGGGCATGCTGGAATACACACGCCAGTCCAACATTTTCTACACGTACAACACGGGTAGGGCAGACGGGGGAGTGTGTGTGTGTGTGTGGAGGGTGGGGCGTGTGGGGAGAGGGTGGGGGATGGAGGGGGAAATGGGGGGCCGGGGTGTGTAGTAAAGGGCGAGTGGGGGTGCGGATGAGCACAGGAGGTTATCGTACGGTACGCCGTGAATTGTTGCTTATCAGGGAGTGGTGTGCGTGAGCGGTGTTTTTGGAACAAGCCAGGGTAACCCGCTTTCCCCTCCGAAAAGAGGTGAAATCCTCGTCACCTTCCTTCACCCCGAGCGTGTGTATATGTGTGTGTTTTGGACGTCGGCAGTTTGATCTGTTTGCTCCTTTGCTTTTTTTCACCTCCTCATCCCCATCCTCATCCTCATGATTACCCCTCTTCCCCCCCCCGGGGGGCTTCCCCTCCGGGTTATCCATTTCCCCCCGTTTTCCCCCCCAATCCCACCCCCACCCCCACCCCCCAGGCAAACCCCTCAACCCCGCCACCCAGAAAGCAGTGGCCAGGTCGTTGCTGGCGGCTCAGGGGGCGGCGGAGGGGACTGCCTTGAGGGTGGAGCAGCTCAAGGTGTGTGTGTGTGTGTGTGTATTGGGTGGAGAGAGGGGGGAGAGGTGGGGGAGAGGGGGGGGCCGCGGGGACAATGTGTGTGGATGCGTGTCTTGCATCCGCCTACGCTTTCATCGAGGGGAAGAGGGTTAGCTTTCACCTCCCCAAGGAGGCAAGGAGGTCGTGACACAGGCTCAACAAATACGCGGAGGGCCATCGGAACGGACCTCACGAATTCCGTGCCGGGCGTGTGCCGTGTGTTTTGGCTAAACTCCTCCCTTTCCCTTCTCCCCCCCACCCCACCCCCACCCGCCCCCGACCCGCCGCCACACGCTGCTGGGTAAACCGTGTCGTCTCGGCGGGTGTATGTCGTACACACCCGGCGCCGGGCAGCGCACCGAGTTCGTGTACTACACGGGCAGTGTGGGTGTCGTATTTGATAAAGAGAAGTACGACGCGGGTTTGCCGTGCCAGCGGTTCTTCTTTGGCCACAACAACGACATTCAATGTCTGTCCATTCATCCCAACAGAAGGTACTGTACGATAAGTAGTGACTACGTGTATGTATGTATGTATGTATGTATGTATGTATCTATCAGTTTATCTGTAGGGTGCATATTTTACAGAAATGGGGGGTTGTACGAGCGACTCCATATGTGAGTGTCCACGAACGGGGTTTGGCGGGTTTGGTCCTCCCTCCCTCCTTTCCCCCTCCCGCCCCCTCCCTCCCCCTCCCTCCCCCTCACT